TAATCCCTTCATATAAACATCACAAGCCTTGAACTTTAAGGATTAAAATTCCTTAAAATGTAGGAAATCTAAAATACATTAAAATACAATTCTTGTAAAATAAAGAATCTAACTTATGTTGGGTTTTTTTTCTTTCGATATGTTGGGTTTAATTCTATCAAATAATGACCAAATTAAGCACTGCAAAGTTTGCAAGTTGGTCGGGGAGTTGGTGCTAGGGTTTTCATGAGAGATTATTTTCATTTAACTTACTTGGCCCAATTTTCATTTTCCTATAGGCATCCGGTGGCTCTTATATATGGACGGCATACAATGCAAGCTACAAATCCGTTTAATGCTGTGCTTTGGTACCATTTGTCCCCGAATTGTGAAGCAAGTAATTGGGTGGTTTGTCATTGTCATTTGTCAAAGCCAATCAGATCATATGAGCTAGGACAGTGAAGTGTCATGGCTCTTCACAAATTGCTTAAGACTGCAACATTTTTCCTAAAAGATTTTTGCAAGTTGTATGTTGGATGTTACTAGTATTGCCATGCAATTACCCTTTCATCATTTCACCAAGCACTCATGGTGTCGATGATGCCATCCGATCTTGTCGCCTTCAAAATTTTCCTACTCACTTTGATGTTTTTTGTCATGGGCGGTCGACGTACGTAGTAATTAAACGTGTATCGCATGTTCCATGTTGTTGAGATATATAGCGAAAGGGTAATATTAGACAATCCAAATTTTTAAACAAAACTTTGAAAACCAAATGATGTGGTTAAAGATAATCGAATTATTACTTAAGTGTTGATTAACATGTTTATTTATTATTTGTGACATATCATATAATTTGCAAATTTGGTTTAAAGGTTTGGTCTCTAGCATTACTCTATAGCGAAAAGATGAAGAAAAAAAATGACTTTCATTGATGAATATTTGGAGAAAGATTTCGTAAAGAAGAGAGGGAAAGAGAGATCATTTTACACTTAACAATATAACAGAACCTAAAACTAAATCTTATCCTCTCTATCCTTCTTAACAGAATGAATTACAAAACTCTCTAAGTCCAGTACAAGGACAGAGGAAGACCCATGACAAAATTACTATCAAGGTCCACAGTAGTAAGGCTGGAAATGGAGTGACTATTTCCTACCATAGTAGCTCATGCGAAAGAGAAGTCCTTGACATTGATAACACTTGATAGTTAAAAGAAAAAATAAAAATCATTTTGCACTGTTCTATTTGAAATTATAAGGAAGAAATCATGTACGTTTGATTACGTTAAAGTTAACTATATGTTTATTGTTGAAAGTGGCTCTTTTACCACAATGGTGGAAAAATGTTGTGTCTTTGCATGACAGCGTGGGTTCGAACTCTGTCGGTGGTTAATCTAACATTTAACTTACTAACATTATCACTCGACTCGGAAAAAAAAAAAACTATATGTTTATAGTTCTTGTTTGCAAATGAAATGAGCTTTTTTTTTCCGAAATCTATGGTCATAATAGGAAGGAGATTTTATAAATATTTGTTCTGGAAAATATATTATTGCCTCCTAATTACTAAGCCCGTAGATTGCAGAGTTCAAGCTTAAAGTTAATGCTAGGGAGATCAAATTTGGCAAACACTAGCATTATCCCAAGCTTAACAAGGCATGCAATTAATTTACAACGTAATTTTCAAAAGTGAATACACGTGTCATGCCATTTATTGGTTACTGATATTGAAATATTCACTTGAAAATCAGGTAATTAAACTACTATTAATTAGAGCATTTTGGTTAACCATGATAGGGTTCTAACTGATTTTTAAGGTAACAAACTTTGTTAAGAAATAGGATCTAAAACAACCCAGTAAATAAAGCAGTACATGTGGTTCCTTCTTTTGTTTCATTTGAGCTTTTAACGTGTGTAAAATGAAAATGACTCTGAGTCTCTGCTTGTTGTTGGATGCATCATCCTTGTATTCTTTTTAATTTTTTCAAGTGTCTGACAAAAATGATAAATCCAGTGAAAAATGATGATATAGACTCTTGTAAACTGCTGTTAATTGTGAGTAATAGACTTTTCTTGCTATGCATGCAACGAAAAAGAGGAGAAGCATTCGAGATACTTTGAAAATCAAGTACATTACTTCAGTTAGGTTATCCTGTTAATTAAAATTAAAGAAGGAAGTCCCAACTCTAACCTAGGTGAATTTTTATAAGTCTTCTCCAACAGGCAAAATACAAGAACAGTTGCTTATACAAATTGAAGATATGTTATGGATAATGGAGAGATGAAGATCATACACCATCAGCCATCTTTATCATCCGTCTTTGTCCAGTGGCCCTCGAAAGTGCCTCCGGTGTCCCTGGCAAGTGCCTCCGGTAGCTTTGATATTGGACAGCAACCAGAAGCCCATCTTGGGGTCCTGGATATGTTCACCAAACTACAAATCACACACCAAATTTCGACCTTCGATCCCATCATTACTCAAATCCCTAGGGACCTCCCAATACTAAGAAGATAACCATTCGCATTTTGGGGACGCAGCACCTCGGATATATAATGATAAATCATCTTAACCACTTGAGTTTGGAGTCTCTTAAAATTTATAATTATATATGTAAACTCATGCATGATGCAACTCTCTTTCATATATAATTTTCAGCAAATAAATACAGTGATAAAAAAAAAAAGCAAATAAAACAGAAAATAAATAACCATTCATTCTTCAATCTTGTCAAGCTATATACATGATGTGAACAATAAATACATACATACATATATATATATATATATATGTTTATACCATCCTAAACCTTAAAAGTGCATGCATGATTTAATTAATATTTGTAACCTTGATTAAGCAGTGTATCATGATAAGAGGTCAAGAAAGATCGATCCATTTTTATTTATTTTTTATTGCTTTTCCATGATAGCGGTTGAGATATGATGGAGAAATTTGGTTGCGATTTTAATGCAAAGAAACACAACCTATATGGTATAAATATGACAATAAAAAAGACAACACTATGGTCGCAACAATTACCATATCTAGACAAAAAGAAAGTTTTGAATTAAATCAATTGGACACAACATTTACAATAAAAAAAAAAGGGTCGGGAACGTGCTATAGTCACATAGGGGGGCCATGGATGTTGATATAGACCATGACATGGTTTCATTTCATAATAATATGTGCGATCTCAAACCAGTAAGGTTCTCAGCTTGCGAGGATCTGAACATTTATTGTACGCAGTTTTACTCTTGCTTTGCAAGGAAGATGTTTCCATAACCAAATGGATAGTGGAAATGGCTAAACAGATCATATACATGTTCTTTTTCGCTTGATTTTCAACTACTCTGTAAGTTATCACACTCAAATTCTATTTGACAATATTTTTAAAACAACTAAAATGTTTCTCAATGACGAAAGCGTTTGTAAGTTATATAAGTATCTTTTTAGTGCATTCTTAAGAAGCTCGTGTCATATAAACCAACTGCTACATCATATATCACTTATCATGTATTGTGATTAACTTATGTAACTAAAAATGCGATCACTTATGTGTTACTTTGGTATAATATATGTACGTGTGATGTGGGACGGTGGGAGGGATGAGAGGGAGGTGTGGGGGCAACGATTTGACCACGATTTTAGTGGTGGAAAGAGAGTAAAAAACGGCCACGTGGGGTGGGGTGACCTTACCATGAGGGCCTGAAGAGGGAGGGACGCGGAGTTGCATAAAAAAGGGCATCACTTGGACTTGCGGTGGAGACTGGTGCCGGACATGGTCACGATTTATGTAATCTTCACACTCCATCCTATCTCCTTGATCATCCTTTCCTTTTTTGTGGGCATGCATGTGTCATTGTGTTTCCTCTCTCTTACTCTTATTTTATTGGTCCCTAATTCTAGGACCCATAAAAAATAACCCAATTATTCATTCGTTTTGCTTCAAAGTAAAACCCATCTAGTCTTTTGTAGTTCAGTTCATTATTAGAATCAAAGTAATGCCACCCTTATTACATATATGTATCATTATTTGTATCATTTATGTAAGACAGGTAGGACTCACCTGCACATGTAGATCTTATCTCTATTAGAGGGATGATACAAATGTGTGGTAAGAATAGAATTTTGTTAGAATCTACATTCACTGATATTTTGTGTTTGACTCTCTTTTTAAGAAAAGACTAAACTTAATAACAAGAGTAATGCTATGGAGATAAATTTGTAGATAAAATTTGCAAATCAAATGATTTGTCACCAATAGGAAATGTGAACATTTATCAATGCTTAAGGAATAATTAAATCATCAACTTCTATATCATTTAGTTTACAAAAATTTATTTACAAATTTAGTCTCTCTAGTATTATTTTAGTAACAATAGTGCATCGCCTACTATAACGCTTCATATCATGTAAGTTTTGCTCTCGTCTTGATGTATGGTTAAAATTATGTCGTACCACCCATTTTTTTTCATTTTCGTTTTGTTTGAGGAAGAAAAAGTAGAAAAAATTGGAATTGCACCCTCTCATAGTCTTAATTCAAATGTCAATTCCCAAAGAGTAATGTTATCCATACCATATTTTCATACTACATTTCTATATCACCTTAGGTGGCATCTGATGTGAACAGTCACATTATTTGAAAAATTTGCAAAACCCAAGGAAATGAAGAAGAAAGACTTCTCGTATACCACAATCATCATTTAATTAACTAGTTTTTCTTAATTATTAGTTTATTAAATAATGAACTAAATTAAAAAATTTGATTAATTCAAATGATGTGGCTATCCACATCAAATGCCACCTAAAGTGATATAAAAATGTGGTACAAACGCCCTTCCCACCAATCCAACACAATACGTGGTCTTCTCTCAAGATGTCTGAGCTGGACTGGACCTCCTTCACAAATAAACAACTTCTCTTTTCACCTCCCCTCCCAACTCTATTTATACTCCACATTTCCTACTTCCTTTCTCCCCAAACCTCTCACTTCCTCTCTCTCTCTCTCTCTCTCTCTCTCTCTCTCTCTCTCTCTCTCTCTCTCTCTCTCTCTCTCTCTCTCTCTCTCTTCTCTTTGCTTTCACCCAGAGGTTTTAACGGAAGCAAAAACACAAAAACCTCCGTAAGCATACACAAAGCTATGTCAACTCTTCCAAAAGCACCTAACTCTAATAGTTGGGCACAAATGCATCTCTCTTTCTTTTCTTCTTCATCAATAGTGGATCCTATGGGCTTCTCCAAAAGGTCCATCTCCTTGAAGAGCAGCAAAAACCGTAGAAATTCGAGTATCATTCACTGTGCTTTACGATCTCCCTCAGTTCTTCACTTCCCAAAACCACCCTACAACACACCAGTAATTACCAAGGAAGCCACTCCAGCAAAACCCAAAACACGTCAGCTTCCACAGTGGAATTTACTACAGAAAGCAGCTGCCATGGCGATCGACGTGGTCGAAGGAGCATTAGTCTCACGTGAGCGCCAAAACCCACTTCCCAAAACCTCAGACCCACGTGTCCAAATCGCCGGAAATTACGCTCCTGTGCCGGAGCAAGCCGTCCGCCACTCCTTACCCGTTACCGGCACCATACCCGACTGCATTAACGGCGTCTACGTCCGCAACGGCGCCAACCCATTACACGAGCCCGTGGCCGGGCACCACCTTTTCGACGGCGACGGCATGGTTCACGCCGTCAGCATCGATTCCGGTTCTGCCAGCTACGCCTGCCGGTTCACCGAGACTCAGAGGCTCGTCCAAGAAAGGGAAATGGGGCGACCAGTTTTCCCCAAAGCCATCGGCGAGCTCCACGGCCACTCCGGCATCGCTCGCCTCCTCTTATTTTTCGCACGTGGGGCTTTAGGCCTCCTCGATAAAAACCAGGGCACAGGCGTCGCAAACGCCGGCCTAGTCTACCACAACGGCCGCCTCTTAGCCATGTCGGAAGACGACTTGCCGTACCAGGTCCGGGTCACTAAATCCGGGGACCTCGAAACGGTCGGTCGTTACGATTTCGACAGCCAGCTGGGGTCAACAATGATCGCACACCCAAAGGTCGACCCGGAGTCGGGCTCTCTCCACTCCCTCAGCTACGACGTCGTTCAGAAGCCGTATTTAAAATACTTCCACTTCTCCCCCAATGGCGCGAAATCCCCGGACGTGGAGATCCCATTGGCAGGGCCCACCATGATGCATGACTTCGCGATCACCGAGAACTACGTCGTGATCCCGGACCAGCAGGTGGTGTTCAAGCTCGGAGAGATGATCACGGGTGGGTCTCCTGTGATCTACGACAAGACCAAGATGTCGCGGTTCGGAATTCTTAAGAAGAATGAGGAGAACGCCGACGACATCATTTGGGTTGACTCTCCCGACACGTTCTGCTTCCACCTCTGGAACGCGTGGGAGGAGCCCGAGTCGGCCGAGGTCGTTGTGATTGGATCCTGCATGACTCCCCCCGACTCAATCTTCAACGAGTGCGATGAGAACCTCAAAAGCGTGCTGTCCGAAATCCGGCTAAATTTGAAAACCGGCGAGTCGACTCGGCGGGCGATTTTGTCTGAGTCGGACGACGTGAATTTGGAGGCGGGAATGGTGAACAGGAACCGACTTGGTAGGAAAACTCGGTTCGCTTACCTCGCAATTGCCGAACCGTGGCCGAAAGTTTCGGGTTTTGCCAAAGTAGATCTTTTCACCGGGGAGGTGAAAAAGTTTTTTTACGGCGAGAAGAAGTACGGTGGTGAGCCGTTTTTCGTGCCGAGCACGGCCGAGCGCGCGTCGGAGGACGAAGGTTACATTCTGACGTTCGTTCACGACGAGAAGAAATGGAAGTCGGAGCTTCAGATTGTTAACGCGGCAAATATGAAGTTGGAGGCTACGGTAAAGTTACCTTCAAGGGTACCCTACGGGTTTCATGGGACGTTTATAGAATCGAAGGACTTGGTAAATCAGGCATAGATAGAACGGTGAAAAAAAGAAGCAAAGTGGTAACAGTGTTGTTAGGGATGGGTGAAAATAGGGAAGGGAGACATTACCAGAGGGATTTGTAGAGAAGCAGACAATGTCCCCGGATTTTCTCCTGGAATATTTTTAAACCCTAAAAACTTTCTTGGTTTTACTAAGCAGATGGGTAGATTTTTTTTTTTTTTTTTTTTTTTTTTTTTTTTTTTTTTTTTACGGTCATCCTTTGGGTACGGTAATTAGGTTTTGATGATGATGATGATCGGAGATCAGCTTGTAGCTTTTGGAGTGTAGGTAGCCCTTTGAGCTCAGCTGGTTTATGTTTCTTCTATCTTTCTACACTCTGTGAAATATTTTTAATGCAGAAGATCGATCTGTGTTTTATCTTTGTCTTCTCTCTGTTCTAAATCCAGGAGGATCCTTCCTGTGGGGATCTTCCAATCACATATGTTTATCATAAATGGTACTGTTATCATTGTAATTTTTTTATTTAAAATTAAATATAAATACCTGATAAAGATTGGCTGCACGATGTAATATGAACGGATGTGATTGGAGGATCCTCGGATCCTCAGAAAAGGGATCTGGCGAGGATCCTTTCTTGTTCTCAATGATGTGATAAATATACATTTATAGTTTGGATAATGTTAAGATAACTAAATTTTTAAACCTTGTAAATCATATGACATGTTTGTTAATGATTAAATTAGTGATTAAGTTTAATTAACGTGCTTATTCCTATTATTTCTGGAAATGTTTCCAATACTAATTAACTAGGTTGACTAACATGTTGGAAGTTTCGAATCTATTTAAGTGTCTTTCTAAGCTCAAAATAGAATTGTGGAAATTAAGAAAAACGTGATACATTCAAAATAAGAATTGTGAAAATTAAAAAAAAAATGTCATACATTAAAAATTAAGAAAATTCAAGAGCTAAAATAATTTCAAAAAGAATATTGAGAAACATAAACTAGCATGTACGTACACTTTGTCGACACACTGTCTAAAATAATTTGGTTGGACAGTATGTTAATAAATAATAAATAAGTTAATTTTACGTGTCCAAATAGTAACACTCAAACAATTTTTCCTTTAATATGTGGAAATAATTATGTCCTTTTTATATACTCTGAATGCTTATACTCTTAAGAATTAATCATTGCTATTCAATGTACAACATACAAGCCATATGAATCCAATTCTCCTCATTTTTCATTGCTGTTATACAAAATGTTATTTAAAGTTCCTACTGTGTTTTAGTAAAGTGTTTGTAGAGTACATTTTGGTAGACCACATTGTACCACTTCTCTATCAAGATGAACAACTTCTCCAGTTCTCCCGAACATTCTTTTTCAGTAAGAGGTCTCTGAGACCAAACCCAACCTGGGCTAAATGCTATTTTTTAGGTTTTATTCCCCCCCCCCCAACCCAACCCATGCTAAATGTGTTGGCTAAAAGCTAAAAGCCAAACAAAAGCCAAATTTCCCCCAAGATTTAGCCCAAAAAATGGTGTGGGCACCACCAGCAGGACCTCACCCACATGGGCATGTCTTTCAGGATTTATTGAATTCAACGGCTGAGATCGAATATAATCAAATCTAATAGTAAAAAAAAAGATCTAACGGCTCAAATTTAAATCAAATGGCTAAAATAATAAAAAAAAATTATTTAACTCAAAATTCACCCAAATTTAATGATTTTTCAATATTTATCGGAATTTAAATATTTTTGGGTTAAAATGTTCATAAAATTAAATTATTATAGTGTACATAATTTTTTTTTAAATTACTTTAAAAGAAAAAATTAGCCTAAATTTATTCTTTAATAATTTTAGGCTAAAAAATTTAGGACTGTTTCTGGGCTAAAACCTAAAATCCTAAATTTTCTGGGCTAAAAATTTTAGATTTTAACCCAAGTATTAGAGATGGTCTAAGGAACTAAAGTAAATTTCGGTACAAACTAGGTAAAGCAACATGCATACTTTATTTGCGCCCACGAAGAATGGTTCATTAGTTTGTCAACGCTATCAAGAATTGAAAGGCTCGATTACCTCAAGGAAAAAAGAACATAATTTATACAAACATTGTAATCTATCCATCTATGGATTGATTTACTTGTACACAATAGTATGAGTATGTCCCTTGACAAAAGGAAAATTCATACTAATAGCGTAAATGTAAGTTTGGAATTCAATTAGCTATAGTAATAATACTCGAAAAAATGGGGACTGTGGGTGCAATTTTCCAGTCATTCTGACGTGACACTCCCCCAGGCGCTGAGTTCAGCGATTCTGGCCCAAATGAGCAGTCGGACCTCCTTCTTTTTACTTAGCTCAGCTTGTTTGGGTTGCCCCTTGAAAAGGAGGGGTGGACTTGCTCTTATATGCCCATCCACGGTCGCTTGCAAAGCTTTTTCCCAACCTGTGCCATGACCAATTAACCACGGTCAAAGCCAACATAATTGACGCCTTATCTTTAGTAAGAGAGTGACAAATTTAGGATACAAGAAACTCATTTTGGGTATAAATTTTCTCATTTTTTTTAAATATATAAATTAGTGTCAAATATCATTTTGTACTAAAAAAATCCAAAAATATCGTCATGTTTCCTGAACAATTTTTCTAATATTGACTTCTTAACTAAACATAGCCTTACGGTTTTACTTAATAACATTGAATATTGTTGCATGGAAGAATCAAGAATGTAGTTAAATTAAAGTAACATTGAACATAATAACATCGAACACCTCGTAAAGGTTTGGTCAATATACGCACACTTTTTAATTTCAAAGCATCATGTATGAAAACAAGATAGATCTATCATATTTTAAAATACTTTAAATACTTGGCTAATTGTTCTATACTAGTAAACATTCTCGATTTCTTGAATTTCATGTTGCTTTTATACGACATTGGTTTCATGAAAGCATTCTTGCGACCTACGCCATACAAAAAAAGTTTAAAAATCAAATAAAAGATGAATTTGTAAAAGTTGTACTGAAAAGTGCTACAAATAAAAAGCGTTGGTGAATAAAAGCGCTTTATAGAGTAACACTTCCAAATGAGTCATGATATAACTAATATGGATGAATAATGATTCAATTTACAAGAAAATTATGTTAGTAGTACCGTATGAATGTTATCTTGATTCCATAATAACATATCTTCTTCTTTGATAAGGTAACGCATAACGTGTACCATCTATCGCTAGCAGCGCATACATACACGATATATAAGAACATACATTTAACAAACCATCTAATATGTTATATGTCACATGACCAAGTAAAAAAAATCCGTAGTATTGTTATATTATAAAGATGATGACCACCCCACGGGTACGCATTGAATATATAGTTTCGGTATTGCCACATATGTTGTTTAGCATATGAGGAGTAGTGATGATGATAGTGAAACCCCACATGCAGCTCTAATACCCTAATTATCTTCAATACAATAAATCTGCATGTATGTGTACTATTGTTGTTTAAAAATTAAAACATTTTATTCTTATTTTGCCGCCGAACCAATGGTGGCCATAACTTTGCAAAATGATGTTTATGGGTAATGACAGTTACAGTAAAGTGGGGTGGGGAAACAAAAAGTCCCACTTAACTTTATCGCAGAGAGGTTTGTCCAAAGGGTCCAGGCTTTGCTTCCAACCATATCAGTTGGAAATGGACTAAGAAAGGTCATCGTTTACTTTTCTATATATATATATATATATATATGCATGGTTGCTCTTCTTCTTCTAATTGATTGAAAACGAACTGTTAATTATTAGCAATGGATGGAGATATACACTATTATAAATTATATAGTACTTTTTGAGGAAACCAAAATTATAATTGACCATGATATCATCTTATGATGAAATTATTGTTTCTTTTAAACAAATATTGTTATCTATACTAAAGGGGATGAGGCTAAATTTAGCCTTATAATGGTTTAGCAATAATGTGATCAAATTCGGCTATAGAGATAATCGAACCTAAGACATCTCACTTACAAGTGAAGAGAAATATCACCTAACCACAGTACTAAATGGCTCATGATTAAATTACTTAAAATCATGAGAAATGTTAAGGAGACTTTCTCAAAAGTGAGACTCTCCATGAACATTTTGCCACCTCATAATTTAACGTCTATTCTCATGTCAACATTATAAATTCCCCTAGCCCTAATTTGATATGATTGATTAATGTACCAAACTTCCTCCGATAGTGAGTCGTCCTCATGATTTTTTTTTGGGAACTTTAACGAAATGCTCTCTATACTGTTCACTTTAACGAAAAATCATATTTTTACACTAAAAAGTTAATCTTGATACTATTCATTTTACCTTTTATTTTGTTTTTATCGTTAAAACTTAAAATTTTCAAGTCATTTTCATTAGTTTTCCATTTTTTATATATTGTGTGTGGCGGGGGAGGTGAATATCGTAATGTTAGGGAATGCAATAGACAATGGCTAGCTAGGGTTAGAGTGCCAAATATATATGGAAAATTTTCATTATTCATCACATTTATGTTCACTACTATATATTATTTATTTTGAATTACAATAAGAATTTTGGCAATCAAGTTAAGTTCTATGTTAAACTTGAGTTGTAAAGAAATGTTTTCTTCACTAAGGTTGATTAGAATGGATAGCGGGTGGATCGAAGATCAAATTGAAAGGATCAAATCAGGCAATGAAGTTCAATTTTTGTAAATTTAGGTTTCAATGTTTCACATGGGCAAATTCTCCGCTATTTGGAAGTGACATCGTCACATGTGCAAGTGCAACTCACCGCTTTGTTGTGATATAAGGCTTTTCTTAGGCCAAATCAATTTAAGGAATATTTTAATTTTTTTTTCTCTAATTCGTTTCTTATTTGAACTAAAACCTAGGGTTAAGAGGCATTATATAAACAAACTTTTTATTTGTCGAATATAAGCAACCTTTAGACCAACTCCAAACCTGGGCTAAAAGCCAAATTCCCCCCAAATTACCCCCCCCAAAACACTCTCCAACCCATGTTAAAATTTTGGGCTAAATGCCAAATGTTATTTTTGGGCCAAATACCCCCCAGCTTTCCCCCCTCGCGTGACTGGACTCGCTAGCCTTTGGGCCACTCTCAGCCCGTTCACGCTCCAATGCGCCCCACTCAGAGCGCCTGCATTTCGTTCCCGACAGCGTGGGACCCAGCGTCAGGGCCATGTCGGCCATTTGCCCGAGCCCAACGACTATTTTCCTCATCTGACGACCATCGTTTAAGGACCGTTGGTTGATCCAATGGTCCAGATTCAAATTTCATTTTAAAAAAAATATATTATTTTAAAATACGTTGAATCCAACGGTTGAGATTGAATATACTCAAATCTAACGGTAAAAAAAAATCTAA